GCGGGGCCGTTGCTAGGCCGAAGGGTAAGACTGCGAACTGGAAATGGTGTTGGTTGATGGTGAAGCGCAGGAACCGCCGGTGGGCAGGGCGGATGGCGATGTGAAAGTACGCATCTTTCATATCGAGGGCAGCGTACCAATCCCCCGGATCTAGGGATGGGATAATAGCGCCAAGGGAGACCATGCGAAAACGTGCCTTGACCAAAACCTTGTTTAGTTTGCGTAGGTCCAAAATAGAATGGAGGCCCCCTTTTGCTTTGGGAATAAGGAAATATCTGAAGTAAAACCCTTTCCCTCTTAGGTCCGGAGGGACCTCTTCCACCGCTCCTACTTCTAGGAGGGCCCGCACCTCCTGCATAAGGAGTTGCTCATGAGAGGGGTCCTGAAGAGGGACGGGGATGGGAGGGAGGGGGCGAGGAGAACTGAAGGGTGCATCCCGCCTCCACTGTGCGAAGGACCCAGTGGTCCGATGTTATTCGGGACCAAGCACAGTAGAAATGGGACAAGCGGTCCCTGAAACATAGGGGAGGATCCGGTATAAGCGTCGGTACGCTGTCCTCGATCGCAGCTTCAAAACCCTTGCTTATTTCCCGGCTGCGGCTTGCCTTGGCCTTGGCTTTGGCCCTGGTTAGGCGTGTTGTTCCATCTATGCCTGTTGTCCCTGCCCCTTCTGTGGTACGGTTCCTGTCTAGGACGAGGATGGTACTGCCTCTGCAGTGGTTGGGGCTTAATGGGTTTCCTGTGAGTCACTGGGGTGTGCATTCCCAACGACTTGAGGGTTGCTTGAGAGTCTTTGAGGCTATGTAATCTGGGATCCGTCTGGTCTGAGAACAAGCCTGACCCCTCGAACGGGAGGTCTTGCAAGGTGTTTTGTACCTCTGGGGGAAGGCCGGAAGCCTGTAGCCATGCTGAGTGCCTCATCACCACTCCTGACGCGATTGTCCTGGCAGCTGCGTCTGCGGAGTCAAGAGGTCTTGGCTACTGCCTTCCCTTCGTCCACTAAGGCAGCGAACTCGGGTTGTGAACCCAGGGGCAGGGAGTCCTTAAACTTGGAGACTGATGCCCAAGAATTGAAATTGTGTCTGTTCAGAATCGCTTGTTGATTAGCGATCCTCAACTGGAGGCCCCCGGACGAGTAGACCTTCCTACCAAATAAGTCCTAGCACCTTGCCTCCTTGGCTTTGGGGGCCGGGGCTTGCTGGCCATGCCACTCTCGTTCGTTGACCGCCGAGACGACCAGCGAACAGGGTGTTGAGTGAGAAAAGAGGAAGTCGAACCCCTTGGAGGGGGCGAAGTACTTCCTCTCTACGCCTTTCGCGGTTGGTGCACTGGAGGCCGGTGTTTGCCATACTGTCTTATAGTTAGATTGTACAGTTTTTATGAGCGGGAGCACAATCCTGGAGGGGCCTTCTGGGCTTAGGATATCAACCATGGGGTCCTCCTGCTCTACCGTCTCATCCGCCTGCAACCCCAGATTGAGGGCTACTCGGCGGAGCAGTTCCTGATGCGCCCGATGGTCAATTGGAGGAGGGCCGGACACTGTCGTGCCCGCCACGGTTTCATCTGGTGAGGAGGAAGAGGTTAGGGCCTTCTGAGCGTCCTCCTCTTCCTGCAACTACTCACCGACTGGGCGCTCCTCTGGGGTCTGTCATATCTGAGACGGTGCCGGGCTTGGTGCCGAGTAGGCTCTTTCTTGCTCCGGTGGTCTGGAGACTGTGGCCTCCTTGCGAGAGGAGGGGCGCCCCTGCGGGGAGCGGGACCGGTGACCCGAGGGGCCAGATCTCGAGGTCCTGGGCGAGGGGCCTTGCTGGTGGTAGGCCCAAGGGTCCAGAATGGCCATTGTCCTGGCTGGCCCCACTGTGGGTGCTTCATGTTCCCTACCGGTCGGTGCCCTGTGGGTAAATCTGCTGGACTGGCCCGAGTCTGCCTCCGAAACCATGGACGGTGACCTGGATGGCCACAGTGGTGCCGTGGGACGGTGCCGGTCCGGAGTCAGAGAGTAGTGCCTCCGTGACCGGGACCGGGAGTAGCGTCTTGCCGACCTGGACCTGGACCAGTACCGGTGACCTCGGGACCGGGAACGACTGCGAGTGGTCGGTCTCAGGGATCGCGTGGCTGACACGTCCTGGTGCCTACTCGAGTAGGACTGCTGGGTCGGTGCCAGGCGCTTATTCGGGCCCGATGGCTGTGCGGCCTTCTGCGCTGAGGGTAGCCGGGAGTCCACCGAGGCGGAGCTCGACCAGGATCGGCGCCGTGAATGGTGCTGAGATGGTGACCATGATGGGCGCACCATTGCCGGCTTGCCTCTGGATGGCAGTCTCAGCGGATTGTCCTTGGCTTGGAGGGGGCCCTCAGCAGACAATACGATGATGTCCTTTGCTGCCTCAAACGTGTCCAGGGTGGAGGGCTGTTCCAAAAGCTCCTCCAGCCCTTCCTCCTCACTCGATGCGCCTATCCCGGGGCTCGACGGGCCTTTCGGCACCGGAGCCACTGGCACCGGGATCTGTCCTGGGGCCGCCACGCCCTTAGGCGCACTCGGGGTCTTCGCGGGCGCTGCCCTCTTATGTGGGGAGCATCCTCGGGCCTTGGGTTGGCCCTTCAATTTTGCCGGCGAAGATGACCGGTGCCAGGGGCGGTCCTGCTGTGTCGGTGCCGTAGACTTAGGGTGCCCTGCCGGCCCCGGATCACGAACCAATGCCGGGGCACTCCGCACCAAAGTTGACCGTGCCGCGGCCTGCTGTGCTGAAGAGGAGGGCTGTAATGCAGCCTCCAAGAGCAGCTGCTTAAGGCGAAAGTCTCTCTCTTTCTTAGTCTTGGGCTTGAAGGCCTTACAGATCTTGCAGCACTCTTTTTGATGTGCTTCCCCCAGGCAACGGAGACACGAGTCGTGGGGATCGCTTATCGGCATAGGCTTGCGGCACGTGGCACAAGCCTTGAAGCCTTGGGCGTGCACCATGCCCTGCCGCCCAGGGCCGGTGTCGGGATTGACCAAACACCTAACACAAAGGAGCTTAACTACTACTAAAAGAACTGATAACTGCTAAGATTAACACTAGCTACTAAGAACTGATAACTGCTAAGAGTAACACTAACAACTAACACTAAAGGACACTCTCAAGCGAGAGACAGAGTTGTTCCAACGCCGTCACGGACGGTAAGAAGGAACTGAGGGAGGGTCGGGCCCGCTAGATCAGGGCGCCGGCCCGACGGGAGCCGCTGAGGGAAAAAGTTTCCGACGTCCGTGCACGCAACGCGCGCACATCTAATGTGTAATGGACATGAACAATCACTCAAAGAAGAACACATTTTGCCTACGCAAAACTTTGCAGGTGCAAATTTTGTCCACAAACACTGACGCTTGGTCTTAGCCTGCCTGAAAGCACATCAATTAGATGGAGAATGCAGACTCATAAGGCTTCCAATGCCCATTTGTAACCAGTCCAATCCAACTTCTAGTAAAGTGAATTGCAGTCTTCCTTTTACTTTCACAGGAATTGGGTTAGACTTTAAGGAACCAGGGTCTTGATCCAGCAAAGTACATCAGCATGGGTGTAATTATAAAGATGTGAGTAGTCCCACCTAGATCAAGACCTAAAACTCACATACCATAACCTTTTAAATTCTATGTGTGTTGTATTTCTGTGAAACTTACTTCTTTCTTCCAGCTATCCAAACAGTAACAATTCACAGGCATAAAATGCCATGGGGGACCGGGGGGAATCAGTGGTTAATTTTGGAAGAGAAGCTACTCCTGCTTCAATGAATAGTGCAAAGGTTTTCTATTCACAGAGAAATTCAACCCAAAACATTTGGAAATCAGACACTGTCTTTAAATAATCAAAACTTAAAACATACTATAGCAATGATATCTTTGTCCTGCTATAGTAACATTTTTATAAACTCAAATATATATATGAACTCTCTGATCAAGGGGAAAAAGGTGACTTCAAAATAGAACAAAAATCAGCCAAAACTAGATAGCACACCCCCTCAAATACTTTATGAAGTCTATTCTTTTTAATGTTGTCATCTTAATGTTATTCTTTTAAAATAATACAAAAGTAATAAATATTTCTGACATTAGCCTATAAACAAAAATATTGTATGTGTAAATATTTCCTGTACTATGCTATTATGGTCTGTTCATACTGGGTTGATTTCTGCTTGCAGTCCCTTGACTACAATTAAGTTACATCAGTGCATGAATACAATTCACCCTTTCTTAGTAATGTAATGTCTTAATAGAACAATGACTTTGGTCATATCATACTGTTAGAAAAGAAGACCCAAGACACATTACAGCTAAAAATATGTTATCAATATATAATGGTAAAAAGATGCTTTCCTTTAACTACTATTTTTTTTTACAATCTATTTTATTGACCCATTGTGTTTATTTTCAACATTTAAATTACTTCAGATTTACAAAGAAAAAACTTTAGCCAATGGAAGATTTCATACGGAGATGTCTATCAAATGGGTTTTCTGATTGAGTTTTATAAAGTATATTCAGCAGGCGGCTTGGAAGAAATAACTTTTGGGCCAAGTTCTCAAACGTGCTAGAGCTGCATTCAGTACATCTGAGAAGTAAAGGCTTTTTGCCACCTTTCAATCCCCCTAACCTTGATGCAAACTAGAGCAGCCTCAGGACTATTTTAACTTGCTTTAGCACCTATGGGCTGTTGTGCTGGCCCCAAAACACTGAAGTGCAGTGTGCACTTTATACTTAGACACCTTTTACTTCCTCTGGAGATTCCCCATACAAGGAGGAATCCCAGCTGACTGCCCCATATTCTGTCCCTTTTGTGCCACTGTAGCACAACTGAGTTTCCAGCCCTCTTACTTATTTTCTTGATTTTGAAGAAGCTCAAGTTGTTTGTGGAATATACCCTCATCAAGAAAAGTCTATTCAAGTATGTTGTAATAAATGACATTTCAGAAATGTGACTTATGCCTTGGTTCACTAACAATTTTAGTGATGACTCACAATAAATACTTACATGGTGCTGTCACCGAGTTCTTCATAGAGATTATTGGCAGCGCTACTTGATGGTTTGCCGGCTGGTAAGGCCATCTGGATTCTTGCTGTCTTTGCACATTCAGCTTGCCGCCTTTGGTAAGTTGTGCAGGGAGAGAAAAAAATAGGTGTTAGAAATATTCTATAGCTTACATGGGCTGACATACAGTAGTCAGATGGTAGTTCCTCAAACATTATTGGTTTTGTATTCAAAGAAAGGTAATCACGTGAGCAATTTGTTTCAGCTTTGTATCACTCCATGGCTTGCTCTTTCATTATGGAATTCCAGAGCTCCAAAATGTATCTAAATATTATCACCCACTTTTAAATAATTGCCAAACCACCTGATCACCATGAAATAATAAAACATTAATTAGCAATTACACTTAATTGAGTAAGAGGTCAATTAAGCTTTAACAAGACTTGTTTTCATCAGGTGGTATGTGGTGAACTGGCTGTTTTGGCAAAGTCCTTCATTTATTGACAGTTATTAATGTCACATTTAAATTTAAACACTTGTAAAGTCTCATTCAAAGTTTAATTTTTATGACTTGTAACATCTTTATCAGCATAAGAGCTGGTCAACAATTTCCTATTTGAATGATTTTTCCAAATGTCCTTGCTGTAAAATCAAAATTTTCTGCATGAAAATTTCAGTTTTGTTGAAAAATTTTGATTGTCTATCAGGAAAATTGAAATGATGGCAACCTGGAAAGCTCTTTTTAATTTCACCTTCTGTCTGCAGGCAGAAAGTGAAAGTAGCAAGAACCTTCCAGGCAGCTGCACAGACTGCGCACCCTTCTTACTGATACAATAAATCCAAGCATCACTCAGTGGCTGCTTATCGGTGGTAAACCCTCCAAAGAGAAATAGGTGATCTGATGAAACAGGAGTTAAGGAATGCCAAGATCAGCCTACTGGGCAAATGCCTTGTGTAATTATTTCATTCCACTCCCATGTATCCAAATTAAGATGATAAAGATCTGGGTTAGAGGTGAGGCAAGGAGGCTGAACTCCAGGGAGGCAAAGAACCAGGGAAGAAAATTAAATTGACAAGAGTCTTCTAGGTGGGCAGCTGACAAGCCTGAAAATTCCATTTTGGATGTCCTGAAACCAAATTTTTCAGGAAATCTTTCTGCAAAAAAATTTACATTTTTCAGAAAAAAATAAAACATTAAATTTTTCACAGGAAGGGACTTCCTTTTTTTGGCCAACTCTAGTCAACATGTAGACCATAAATTCAAGCCCTCTAGTTCATTTGTAGAGGTGAGAAAGAGCAAATAATTACCATGTAACTGGTAACAGAATTGAGAGAAATTTAATTCAGAATAGAGTACAACAGACTCTACCTTGATTTTCAAAATAAATCATGATTATTCTTCTTCACATTTATATTATGGTAGTGCCTGGAGCTAAGATGTCATTTACTGAAGTTCTAAAATCATCTAAAAATAGGGAAGTAAAACTGGTTCATTATAAAATATATTATATCTATATCTATATATATTCAGCATTGTTACATTACAAAAAATCCTCTCATATTTGGCTGAAAAGATTTGGATGGTAACTAGGGTTTCCAAGCCCTTACTCTTTAATCTTCCTCCCTGCACCCCCCAAATTAACAATACTGAAGTCTGATATTCTCAGACCCTGGATTGCTCTGGCATTACCCAATAATTGTTTCTTCTGAAGAACTAACTTCATTTCCCCTTTAGAATGCTAGTTTTAAATAATTATATTCATAACCAGGTGTTTCTGGGATATGCACTATTCATAGTATATAACCATTACTAATATTGGGCTAAATTAGCCCTGATATAATTCTATTTAATTGAATTGAGTTACTCCAGGGATGAATTTGGTTTACTGACTTCATGTTTCAACGAACATTTATCTCCTGGGTCAATAAATCATGATGTTCACCTCAACAGAAGTCAGTATCTGCTAAACATTAAAAGGCCACACAAAGCCATGGAACTCATGGATTCCTATTTTAAGGCTATACCACTTCAAAATCTTGGTAAAGAACAATCACCCAATGATTACAAAATTACACAAAGATACAGAAATATAAACAGCAAAGGATAGGATCATCTTCTCTATCCTGTGCTCTATAGAACATTGACAGACCCTGGTTGTCAGCGGGTGGCCCTTAGCTAAGGCTCTAGAGCAGACTCATTAATCTCTCTCTCTAAGTGGTCTTGGTGCCATTAGATGGGATAGAACACCACACCCGGGGGCGGGGGGGGTTACATAAGCAAAGCCTTCACATTTTATTGTGTTTTCTTCAGCATATCTGTCCACATTTCCAAATTCAAATTAAGTTAATAAAATAAATGACGTAAAAAGCAAATGGCTCAATTAACACAAAAAAATCAAGTTATTGGCGTATATACATATACAGATAGATATGTGGGGGGTGTTTTCAGTTTAATATAAACTATTTTTAATATCAAGCTATTATTTATTTAGTACACCTCTACCTCGATATAACGCTGTCCTTGGGTGCCGAAAATTCTTACCGTTATAGGTGAAATTGCGTTATATCGAACTTGCTTTGATCCACCAGAGTGCACAGCCCCGCCCCCCCAGAGCACTGCTGTACTGTGTTATATCCGAATTCGTGTTATATAGGGTCGCGTTATATCGGGGTAGAGGTGTATGTATGTGTCACATAAAAGGTATGTTAACGTTTAACCCTATTACTTGGATTCCCTAGCTAGGCAGAGCCTGTGAAAAAGTTAAGGGAACATTTAATTCAGAGTTTTTTGAAGCACCCCTCAATGGGGAGGGATGGGCAGCCTGTGAGTTGGCAAGAGTAAGTCCATTTGGAAACATAATTTTCAGGATCAAAGGGAAAAGGACCTCTTATATGAACAGAGGCAGGCACCATCTTACTGGCTTCCCCTTCCTAGCAATTTGGCTCCTGGAGTAGAAGGGACAGCTGGCGTAAACATACTGTGGCTTCTTAGGAGCACCTATGGAATTGATTCTCACCAGAATTAACCTTCACTAGAGTCATGAATGAAATAGGGGATGTTGTTGTGCCTCCATGTCCCACACAGCCCCAACAGAAAATTCTTTGCAGAGAAAGAGAGATTGTCATTGTGGAAGCATTATTTCACCTTCAGTATGGGCCTAAGACCCCCTCCATGTGCTTTAGTGAAGCAGACACTCAGAGCATACCATTGATTTACCAAACCTGCTACCTTGGCTATGAACCTGGCCAACACCTGATCTTTTATAAGATTGCATCCCATCTTTAAACCTGTGCATAAAATGTACTTAGTTAATTGTATAATGCTGTACAATGGGGAAAAAAATCCTTTCTTCTCTCTGCAGGCAAACAACATGACATTGATTGCCTTATCTTAGCACATAACTGAATGTTTTATTAAATGATCATAAAATTAAGAAGTTTCTTTTTAAATCTCAGGTAGCAATGCATTCTACAGTTTGACTATATGAAGTATTTCCTTTCACTGGCAATACATTTACTTCCCTTAAATTTCAAATGGCCTTTGTTCTTGTATAATGATAAAAAGTAGATATTGATCAGCTATCATTATTCTTAAACAAGTGTAAGAAGCAAATCTAAAAGTAAATACTTACTCTTTAAATCTGTTGTCATGCAAGAGAGAGAGAGAGAGAGAGAGAAAGTCATGTTAGAAGTGTTCCATTTATAACAACAATTATCTGAAACAGTGAACCTTATATTAACAATAAACTAAGAGTGACAATCATTTTACATGTTAAATTGCAAAATTAATGACATATTTAAGAACCATTATGTTTCAGTAACTGAAAATCATTTAGTTCCTTTTGTGATTGTGAGACTATATAAAACTATCATCCATAAACATGAATTACAGGGGGACAAATCAGTTATGGGCTACACAGAATCTGAAAAAAATATTGATTAAAGATGTAGATATTGAAGTATGAATTAGGATTTTTACAAGTGGAATATTAAAGATGAAGTAATTTTTATAATTGCCTCCTCATTTTAACATGGTGAATATTAAATAAACAGTCCTTCATAGTAAAGCACAATTACATTTTGGCTTCTATGTAGAATATGCCACCCTTGCTATGATTAATTCATACTATATTTTTCATAATTGGCTTTTTGGTTTGTCCTAGATAGTGAATTTCAAAGCATCACTTACAAGAAAATAATAATGATAATTTATTAGATTATTTACAAGCAATACATACAGTCAGTGAGCTGTGCTTTAACAGTGATAATTTCACATTAAAAGTAAGCAATGTAAAACTCATTTAGTTTAACTTTTTTTTTTTAAATGTAATAAGTAAAATTAATTCTTTGGATGTTAGCTGATCATTGAGCTGGAAAGTATTGAAAAACTACCCACTACACACAAAAGAGTTTAAATATCAAGCAAGTCTTAATGTTTCCATTATATGTGCACTGAGTGTGACAGTTACATTTATTCAGCTATAATCTTTGCACTAAGTGGCAAAATTGAGCAGCTAGTTTGCCAGAAATGTTATCGGGAGATTATATTAAAGCAGCTTTGAAAAAGGGGAGCTAAGGAGTAAGACAAAAATGAACTTGTTTTCTAAACAATTCAATATAGTATAAGGTTTATATTAAGATGGAAATCATGTATATTCTCTTCAGTCTAAATGAATTCTATTGATTTATTTTTCATAATACTAATAATTTATTTGTGGTGGTTCGATATAAAGTCCAACTCTACATGATACCTGTAGACAAAAAAATTGTGATTTTAGATGGACGGCAGCTAAATAGATTCCTTAAAGCAGTCTGATATATTTGGGACCTGATTCTGTTCTAATGGATGTCAAGGGGAATTTTGCAATTCGCTTTTCCTTCCTTGAAAGAAATCACACAGAAGTCACATTGCAAACTAATGAGAACCTTTGTTTAGTAAAAATTTACTGTATGAAAATTTTAAACACAGTATGACTCAAGAAACATGGGAGGCCTGATCCAACATAGGGATATATTTTCTGGAAGTATATTCTGAGGTGCAGGGCTCTCAATGGTATATTTTGCCTGGAAGGGGAATGGTTAAACACTGCTTGGGGAGAGGAGTGTGGATAGGAAACCTGGAGGATGTGCTTATTCAGCACATACTCTCCATTCAATCCTGACAGAAGGGCTCCAGTCTGGATTGCCTGAGGTGCTTTAGGGTTATCCTCCCCAGGTACAGCCCCTGGCTACTGCAGGAGCTGATTAAACCCATGGCCTTTCAGACTCTTTTTGGAGGATTAGTCTCTAAAAAAAACGGGTAAAATACAGATATAAATGTTACTCAAACAAATATCAGCCATTTAAAAATAGCTATAAACCAGTTACTCCTCTTATGTGACTATTAAGCATGCCTTCAGGCATACTAGGGTTCTTTCATGCAGTGATGTCTCCTTAAAAGATTAAGTAAATTTGATTTATAATACAAACCACCAGAATACTGATCATCCCTATCTCTAGGGAATATTCTAACTCAGCTATTAAAAATGCCAAAATACAAGTACTCCATTTTTAAAGAGAATTGTTACTCAACTTACAGTTGTAAAACATAAGATTGCTTTTGATTTTATTATCTGGAGCCCAAAGTGGTATCCACATACAATATATAATGGCTACAGACAGATATACAGCCAAATTTAGCCCTATCATAAGTACAACTAAATTTATGTCACCGTAGTTGCAGTTGCTTATGACAGGGCATTAACAAACAGTACTGTGTTCTATCCCAGTTACCGTTTGGGAAGGAACAGCATGACTGGTAAGCCTAAAATCTCACCTGGTAAATTACACCATATTGTAGACCTGCAATAATATTCATATTCCAGTGATCTATTATAATACATGCACATTGGTTTCTTTATATTCTTTCACCCAGTGATACATGGCCTCAAGTTGCGGTCTGCAAAGGCACTGGTACTTAATCGCCCCAATATAACAGACAGGGATCTGATAGTGGGGCATCCTTTGTAAGAACTTCTGAGCTCTGGAAAGCCCTCCCACAATTGGTTCTAAGTAGCTGAGATTTGCAGAGTAATAGGGCATGCTGCAGGGCCCATTTGCTTTACCTGGCCTTTGAAGAGAAGGAGAGGGATTGAGGTATACACTGATGTATGGAGGTGTTAGTATTTGATTACTACTGTCTGGGAGAAGGTGTGAGCTCACTGAATTGCATTTTGTTTTTGTAATTTTAAATATTGGAAGGTTGCTCAGAGATTGTATATGGACACAGTTTATTTTATTTTTATTGAAAGGAAAAAGGAAATATTATATATGGTCTCAATTTCCAACTGAGTATACGGATTAATGAGAAAACCTCAAACTGTTGGGTCAGATGAGCATACAAAAGTTAAGCTGTTTATCCATTTGTTAGCCAAACTATTTAAAATTCTTGAATCCATTAAGTGTAACAAGAAATTTAAAGCAAATAGATTCTCATGAGATTTCTGCCTATTCAAAAAGAGCTAGAATACAACAAGAGCAACCTTTCTACGGTATGTTTTGATGCTTGAACTTCAGTCCAAGTAGTTCACAGGTATGAAAAAATCAAAAATAATAACTGCCTCATATTTTAGAGCCACAATAAAATTTTGGGTCGTCTCATTTTCCCTGCAATATAAAAGTTGAATTTTGATTGCTGAGCTACCAACAGTTTGGGCATATATGGACCCAGAGTTCTGGCTGAAGCATGATAAAGAGAAAGCTAGATATGAAATTCAGATTGCAATCCGTGTTCACATGTTTGATATTTGGATTCAGGGTTTTGGTTTCACTTCATCTATAATCTGAAAGAATTACTCCATCATATATATATAATAAATATAAAAAATACATATATACATAAAGACATAAAGAGGCGTCAGACATTAAAAATAACCAGACTGTAGATTGGCTATGTGGGACAGCTTTCAAAGCAGACCAGTGTTCAGGGCTACCAACTATATTTCCCCTGTAGTAAGTGTATAGGTTATTTGAAAGAATTTTCAATGACAAAGAAATTTGGAGTACTTACTGTCTGTAGCTGACCATAACTATTAAAATAGCAGGCATGCAGCAAAGGATGATTATGACAGCCAAAGCAAGCAATGCTCCTTCTGTGTAGCCTACAGCTTGTGCCTGCTTCTTAACATTGGCCACCACGTCTGGGGTGCGGATTTCCAGAATACGTCCTCCTTGCCCAAGGTATGGCTGAAATTCTTTATTGATATCCAGAAGTTTTCCATCCAAGAACCTTCAATATTACAAAACAAAACTATTACAGCAGATCTAGTTAATTCTGTTCTGACTACTAGTTCACTGAGTTAATAACTATATGTTCTGTATATACTGCTATAATATGTATCTCATCTTTATGTACTTACGAATCTTACTATTCTTTCATAACCCCTTTTTCGGTATTATCATTGATGTATTTAATAGTAATCTCCCCTAGAGACTGATACCTTGATGTGTTGGGGTCACTTGTCTCCATGATCCCAAGAGCTACTTCAATGGGAGTTAGAGTTAAACTAACATGACAGATTGAAGGACAGAGACCAGGCATAAAAAAAAATCAGTCTTCTGGTCCTCCTGGTTGGGTGTTGAGCATGAAGTTGATTTAATCCCATACAATACTTTTGTTATGGAAACAGTAGAACAAATAAAATGCCAAATACAGATCCTTGGATAGGTTGGATAGCCCTCAAATGGACAGCATGATGGATATCAGCCAAAAACAGCTATGAAAGGACACTGTTGCCTGAAGAACAGAGTTCCAGGCTTGTTCCAAACTTTGTGTGGGGTTTTGGAATGTGAGGACTATGCTAGCATCAGAAAGTCAGCCCAAATCATCAAAGAAATGGAAAATTATAACATAGAACGCAGGTGGCCAGATGCAGATATAATCAAAATGACTGCCTAGGAAGGAGTACTGTGGAAAGGGATCTGGGGGTCATAGTGGATCACAAGCTAAATATGAGTCAACAGTGTAATGCTGTTGCAAAAAAAGCAAACATCATTCTGGGATATATTAGCAGGAGTATTGTAAGCAAGACACAAGAAGTAATTCTTCCACTCTACTCCGCGCTGATTAGGCCTCAACTGGAGTATTGTGTCCAGTTTTGGGTACCACATTTCAGGAAAGATGTTGACAAATTGCAGAAAGTCCAGGGAAGAGCAACAAGATGATTAAAGGTCTAGAAAACATGACCTATGAAGGAAGATTGAAAAAATTGGGTTTGTTTAGTCTGGAGATGAGAAGACTGAGACGGGACATGATAACAGTTTTCAAGTACATAAAACGTTGTTACAAGGAGGAGGGAGAAAAATTGTTCTTCTTAACCTCTAAGGATAGGAAAAGAAGCAATGGGCTTAAATTGCAGCAAGGGCGGTTTAGGGTGAACATTAGGAAAAACTTCCTAACTGTCAGAGTGGTTAACCACTGGAATAAATTGCCTAGGGAGGTGGTGGAATCTCGATCATTGGGGATTTTTAAGAGCAGGTTGGACAAACACCTGTCAGGGATGGTCTAGATAACATTTAGTCCTGCCTTGAGTGCAGGGGACTGGACTAGATGACCTCTTGAGGTCCTTTCTAGTTATATGATTCTATGAAAATGAAAAACAACAATTAAAACTGATTTTACCCATGAAATCCAGATGGAGGAAGAGAAGGAACTGCATTGATCTTGAATGTTGATGCACAAAGAGCAATTTTAGACTGGTAATCAGTTAATGGCAAAATTATACAGGCAAGATTTCAGATACTGTCATTCAATGTTATACCCTACTGAATGAATATGACAAGATCGATCAGCCTACTTGTTATAACATTCTGCAGGACTTCATCAGCAAAGTCCCATAACATGATATTCTCATTGTTTTGGGCAATATGAATGCTATGCTAGGGACAGATAATCATGGCATAATGGCACACATGGAACTGGCTTCCATCAAAATGGTGGCAAATATGTTCTTGAACTATGTCAGTTGAATCACTTTATTATTAAAGGGATACTCTTTCCTCATAAAGAGAACCATAAAACAACATGGATCTCCCAGACACCATTACTAAAAATAAAATAGATCATTTTTGTACATACAATGTTCTAATGATCACTTCAAGATGTCTGCATATACAATGGGGCATACGTAGGCAGTGATCATCAACCATGTATTGCCACCATGAAAATGAAATTGAGGAAACTACGAGTAAAGAAAATTACAAGAAAGATTAAAATAATTAAGCTTGGGGCTAACCAAATAAGGAATGTTTCTGAATTACAGTTTTCAAACAAGCTTTCAAATATGGCAGAAACAGTATTTAAATGATAAAGAAATGGCATGGGAAGCCATTAGCAAATCGAATATCATCCTTGAATCTAGCAAAGGTAAGAAGGAAGAGTGGACTATCAAGACCACATGGGATGTTATTGCATAAGGAAAACAAGCTAAGGTAAATCTACTCAATGCCTTAAGGCCAAAGTAAGGTAATCATTGAAAAGAGGAATATAGAGATAAAGAAATAAAAAAAGATCAGCCAGAAAAAGCATATATCAATAGATAGGCACTGGAAACAGAAATGGCAGCAATGAAGGAACACATGAGAACACTTTATCAAACCACGATATGACTTGCTGGAGACTTTAGCCACAGCAGGGAAGGTCCAATGAAAGATAAACAAGGGAAAACCTTAGACCAGCAAACGAAAAGATGGATAGAACACTTCCATGATATCCTTAACAGATTCTTGCCAGAAATAACATTTAACTTCGATAATCATAGAATCATAGGGCTAGAAGGGACTGCAAGGGTCATTTAGTTTAACCCCCTGCCAAGATGCAGGATTTGTTGTGTCTAAACCATCAAAGACTAGATGGCTATCCAGCCTGCTTTTGAAAACCTCCAGCAACCTCCCTAGGCAGTCTGTTCCATTGTCCTACTGTTCTTACAGTTAGGAATTCCCCCCTCCCGCCCCATCTTTTCTAGGGAAGAGGGCAGAACTTGATGTTTTCTGTGAGGATATTACTCTGGATGAACTTAAAGTAGCCATAGAAAGATTAAACAACAACAAATCACCAGGTGAATATCAAATCACAGCAGAAGTTCACCCCCGACTCTAGGCTTCAGAGCCCAAGCTCCACCCTGAGCTGCACCTTCCAAGTACTGTTTATACAGCTATTTTTACAGCACCAGCCCACTAGCTTGAGTCTTTTGACCTGGGCTGGGAGGCTCACTCCGAAATGTTTAAACATATCCTGAATGACCTCACTTCCCTCATATTAAAAGGAATGGGATTCCATGGAGAATATGCCACTAAACCGCCTTTCAATAATTTTTGATGTCATTCTTACATCTGCTCTGCATAGAAGTTAGATCATTTAGCCTCTAAGTATGTGCTATTTATCCAACAAAGCATAGCATGTATTGGGCCAGATTCTTTCCTGTGTCAAGATCTGCTTGGGGCTGGGGGTAAATGAGCAAGCCACAATTATCAAGCCACATCTGCGCCAGTGATTGTGTAAATTAGAGAAAGCTAGGGAAATGCCCTGTATGCTCAGGTGGGGGATGGCTGATGCAGGAACCTGTTCAAGCTAGTTCATAGTACCTACTCTTTCAAGGGAATTCTTAGCTGAGCAGTTGTGTCCAGATTCCTGAGTGGCATGCAAAGAGGCTGGAACAGGGGAAAATAATGCCCACAATCTTTATAATACTTTAACTACATTAAGTAGAGCACGATCATACATTTTTAAAGTTAGTTTGGGACTCATGAAAGTTGCTAGTCTGACATCAATGTAAACCGAGCGTTCTATTTATTCAGAGAATGTACAGTACAAAAATCAGTGTAAAATCGATATCATGCCACCATATATTTTCAACCCTCTTCTGGAAGAAGTACTACTACTGTAATATAATGCATGCAGTGTAGTTGTAGCCGTGTTGGTCCCAGCATGTTAGAGAGACAACATGGATGAGGTAATATCTTTTACTAGATGAAGTTCTGTTGGTGAGAGAGACAAGCTTTCAAAGAAGAGCTCTGTGTGGCTCAAAAGCCTGTCTCTTTCTGCTGAGATTTTCACTAAGAAAGCAATTGAGATAACCTTGTCCACTACACACTGGCTATATCCTATTAGCTCATTTTACATATGTCATCAAGACAGCCATCAGATGACAATACAATTTGATCACAACCAACATTGACTAATATTCTCAATTCTGGACTGTTGGCTTCTGACTATTAGTAGAAAACTATAACAACACAGGTATGAAAATAGACAAAGGAGTTTGCCAGGATAGGTTTAGACACTACTGGAAATTAGAGTTAATCATCAGGGACTACATTCTACTGTCATTACTCAAAATCTACAGTAACTATAGATGTATAATAGTGTAAAAGAGTATAATTTTGGACCAAAGTTAACAAACCGGTGTATTGAGATACACTGAAAAAAGCAAAATAAATTTTGCTGAAACTAGAGATAGTATTGCTTAATTTAGGTGTCAGATCGCAGTTTTGTAACTTGATCTGAGTAAGGGGCAGCATGTGGCTATGCTATTCCAGGAGCGCACCAGGAAATTAATTGTGATTGAGAGTCACAATTAATTCCCTTATTCTCCACTTACCGAACAGGAATGGGGCTGTTCAAAAATTTTCCATCTTAATTGTTTTTCAATGAAAAATTTTGGTTTTGATTAAACTACAAATTAAATTGCCACAAAGAGTATCTGCTTTCCACAGAAAAAAAACATTTTTAAATCAAAATGTTTTGGCCTAAAACTCAAAATCTAACAGATTTTTTTTTTCTGGGCCATGATGTCCTTTTCAAAATGGTCACCTAATCGTGGGCAGGTTCTGACCAAACTCCCATTGACAACAACAGGCGATGGCAGCCATTTTGAAAAAGGATAGTTCTACATGGTCTTCAGTGTAATAAAAAATTATTCCTCGGGGGTCCTCCTGAAGTTATGAACAGTAAAGCAATATAGTACCATTAATCAAAAATATCTTCATATGCAATCTAGGCATATGAATTCCATTTAGTTTAAACTGTAAAGGAAGTTTGAAGTGTCTGTGTTATTACATTATTAAGATAATTTGAGATACAGAAACAATCTGCTACTGGACGCTAAATTTCTTAAAGGACCAATTTTTAAAATTAATTTTAACTGAAACTAGTTAACTTTTACCTTTAAAATCTCAGAATATTCATTCTAAAAAAATCAAAAAGTGCTATAATTTTTGGGAGTATATGCT